AACCAGGATCGAGTCCCACGTCAGGCTCCCTGCATGGAGCCTGCTTCTCCCTTTGCCTGTGTCTCTGCCTCTCTCTCTCTCTCTCTCTCTCTCTCTCTGTGTGTGTGTGTGTGTCTCATGAATAAACAAATAAAATCTTTAAAAAAATAAAATAAAAATCTAGGCAGTATTATTTTGGAAACACCCATACACAGTGTATCAACAATTTTTAAAAAATCTAAATGTACCTATCTTCTTACTTAAATATAAATGTTAAATCAAAAGTATTAATATGTTATGACTTTGTTTTTAAATTCAAAATTACTTGGCACCAAGTAATTCATTAAATCATGCTTGACAGTGATATTTCTGCAATTGTTAGATATACTTGGGAATTCTGCTACTATAGAAGAAAAATCTAAATTCCAAATTGTTTTCAAGTGAAATGAAATACTGGTGAATACTAAATTTAACATTTAAAGAAGTTGACGTGGTAATGGTTTGTATATATTTAATTAAGCATTTTTTTTAAAAAAGATTTTATTTATTTATTCATGAGAGACAGAGAGAGAGAGGCAGAGACACAGGCAGAGGGAGAAGCAGGCTCCATACAGGGAGCCCGATACGGGACTCGATCCTGGGATTCCAGGACCATGCCCCGGGCCGAAGGTAGGCACTAAACCACTGAGCCACCCAGGGATCCCCTAATTAAGTATTTCTTAATTATGATTTTGTAGTCTTCTTTTTGTATTATGGGATAAATAATACTTTTACTTTCTCAAAAGTTTAAAAATAGGAAATATTTCTGCTTCTGGCAATGTATTGGATGATTTGAAACAACCTTCTTGCCAAAAGCAATTTAAAATTTTAGAAGACACTTTACAAAAACCTTAAAAATATCAACAACCTTGGCAAGAAAGTGAGGAATTACCAGAGTAAGAAATGGGGATTTATTTCAATTTCAAAGGACTCAGTGATAAATCAGATCTGCTTTTGCCTGGGGACCATTTGCCAAGAAAGGAAATGAAGCTTCTAAGCAGACCTTCTCTTTTAAAGATAACCCACCTGGAGATTCCTAACCCTGAGTGGGGTGTGAGAGCATAAGCAGTCTCCACTTGAGAAGGGAAATTGCTGTTCTGAAGAAACAAGTATCAGTTAAGGCAAGGAGGTAGAAAGAACAGAGAGAGGGTTGCAGGTGTAGGAGATTCTTTCCATCATAAACAGAATCCCCAGTGAATATAGAAAAAAGTTTTGAGTGGTAGGAAATATGGAGATTGAAATTGAGGTAGAATTTCTGAATAGAAGGTGTCTTCTAGCTCTTATCCTATGCAATATGTATGACATTTCTACCAGAAATTATTAGACTCTTGTTATGGAACTTTTCCATGTGACAGATAAGCTCAATTATGTTTAATTCTATCTGGTCGCCTATTCCTACACCATATACCCCAATTTTACCACTATTATGTACAGCTCACTGAAACTGTGTTAAACCCACCAGCTCAGAATTTGGCCTAAAAATTCAAAACAGGAAACCAAAATTTATATTTTGTGTAGAGCTGTACTCATTCTGACACCATTAACCATATACCCTTTGCTGAGAACCCGGCTCAGCAAAGGGTATATGGGACAGAGAAGCATTTGTAGGAATTTACCTGCCATATCAGAAAAGTGCTAAAGATAGGGACCTGATATATCAGGAAAATCAGTGAAGGAGGAGAGGGGAGTAAAACCTGCTAAGAACTGTCCTTAGGCTCCACTATTTACAACCATAGTCATAAAATCTCCACTCATAGCTCCTTAGCCCCATTCTTGTGATTGGGGTAACATCAAATAGTTTCTCAAGGAAATCAACATTTCTTTCCAGTCTAGACCAGGGCAATGCTGGGTCCAAATTGTAACATTGTGACAATAGGCTGGAGTCCTATCTAGTATGCCAGCAATTCCACGTTTAAGAATTTATTCTGGGGCAGCCTAGGTGGCTCAGTGGTTTAGCGCCGCCTTCAGCCCAGGGCCTGATCCTGGAGACCCGGGATGGAGTCCCACGTCAGGCTCCCTGTATGGAGCCTGCTTCTCCCTCTGCCTGTGTCTCTGCACCTCTCTCTCTCTCTCTCTCTCTCTGTCTCTCATGAATAAATAAATAAAATCTTTTTTAAAAAAGAATTTATTCTGAAAAAATTATTAAAGATGTGGGCAAAAATTTATTGATGAACATATACTGCAGCATTAACTACAATATAGAATAATTTAAAATAAGCAACATGTCCAATAATACAGAACCGGTTACATAACTTTTGGAATATCTATAAAATGGAATCATATAAAACCTTTAAAAATCACATAGAATAATATTGGATAATTTTTAAAATATTTTCTAAGTGGAAAACAGCCATTTACAAAATGGTATGTATCCTATGATAGATTTTTAAAATATATTTATTCCCTTCCTCCCTGTTACTTTTCTCAACCCTTCTTACACACTGTCATCTATCTCTGACTAGGTTTAGAAGGGTTTACATCAACATATTAAAAGTGGTTATCTCAAGATACTTTCTTTCTTTACAATGTTTGCTAAGTTTTCTGAACATAGCATGCATTTATTTTATAACTTTTGAAAAATGTTAACTTTTGGTTAATAAACAAATAGATTTCCTATGGCAATAGGTCACAAATACTATTTGAAAATTCTTTGATTCATCTTACTTTAATCCGGCCTTAACCTTTCCAGTCAAATAATATTAAAAATGATTTGGGGAACTGTTTTATGGAAGATTAAAATGAAGCAAAAATGACTATTATAGAATACACATTCTAGGAATAGTTGAATATAGTAAGGAACAAGTCTAATACAATCTATAATGTTAATTTCTAGGATACAAATACTGGTAAAGCCAGCCCCCTCATGTATTCCTAATGTTGTCAATAAAGGCCAACAGATTTTGCTTATATATAAATTTATTTAGGAAATTTTCACTTAAATTAATATGTCTGAATTTAAAATAAATTAAATACCAAGAATCAGCTTCCCATTCTGAGAGTTTTAGATAAGGCCCACTGAACTCATTACTCATTCTGCCATCCAGTGTTCTCCAGATGTAAATTTTATTATATGGGAATATAGAATGAATGCAAGAGTTTTTCTTTCTTTCTCTTTATATATTTTTTTCAGTTGAAAAGAGGCCTTGGGTCCAAATAGAATACATGTTGATCACTAAGAGGCAGGAAGATTGACTATATATGCATATGGCAAATTATGCCCATTTTGCCAAATCAAAACCTTAAGGAAGATTTTCCTGTCCTGTGGGCTGGGAAGCCCAATAACAGTCACCCTGAAATTAACAATGATGAAGATAGCTTATCATCCTGACTTATTTCTGCCTGATTATTTGTATAATAATTCTGAGTTTTATCTAGAAAAGGTAAGAGTTGGGCAGATGAGGACAGAAAAGGGTATAAGGACATGGGAGAAAAGTGAAGAATGGGACAGAAAGAGGAAAGCCATGTAAAAGAGAATAAATATGGTGATTGCAATGGGGCTGTCAACAATGATTATGCAAGGAAGTTACTCTGGAGAAGCAATGGGTAAGACTATGGAAAGTATAAGGTAGGATCATGGAGAGTGCTCCTTAGAAATATTAGGTTTGGTTTGATAGCCAATAAAGAACTACTATATAGTATTTTAGCCTACATTGTTTTTAGTGATATATTAAAGTAATGTTTTAGGAGAAAAAGTAGCTAACAGTTACTGAGTGCTTGCCCTGTTCCAGGCAATGCGATACAATAATGATGGTTAAGAGGGTGGCCTTGGAAGTTCGTTGGAGTTAAGGTCTAGTCCTGACTCTGGAATTTATCAGCTATATGACATTGGGAAAATTACTTATTTTCTTGAGTGTCAGTTTCTTCATCTGTAAAATTGTTGTAGTAATATCCACCTTTCAATGCTGTTGTATGGATCACATCGATTGAAAAAAGGGAAAACCTGTGGCCAGAGAACCGTTAGGAAAGTATTACAATTATTGAACCTAGACAAAAGTGATTACACCACTAGAATGGAGAGGGAGGAAAAACTGCAGAAGAAAAGTAAAGAATTAGGACAGAAGACTGAAAGTTTTTTATTTCTGTTCAATTGACATAATTTGGGAAAAAGAAATTCTACTCTGAAGTATAGGGTTCCTCTCTGGACATTATCAATTGTTTATACATTTCCTTAGAGCTAAAAATAATCGTCTGTTCCCTCTATTCATCATTTCAACATCTCTGCAACATATAATTTAAATTTCCTTTTCTTCAGTCAGTTAAAAAACAAAACAAAACAAATCATTCACTTTCTTATACTGTATTTTCAATTTTTTATTGTTTGCAATTTCTTCCTCCATTATTGAGTTTGCCAGTCAGGCCTCCTACAAATTTTCAGAGACCATGTTCCCTATCATAACAAAAAGTAAAACTCAGAAAGAAAACTAGTCCTGCCATTTCTGGGTTTAGGGAAACCTGAAACTTTTCTTAAATCTTCTGTGGCTTTGCTCACTTCTTCAATGCCTAATTTCTGCAACCAGCTATCGTCAGAATACTCATTACATAATAGGAGTCTTAAAATGCACAAAACTTTGAAAGCATAGGCTTTCTTACTAGTGTCTGATTCAACATAGGGAGTCTTCATTTAAGGAAGATCTGTCTTATTTGCATACATTTCTGAGCAGGAAGTTATGTGCAGAACTTTCAGTTTCTGTGGGAAAATGTCCTTCATTCTAATATAATTTAATACAATGCTCCCTTTTTTCTTTCTCCTCTGCCTCCTCTTGTGGAGAGAATCGTCAAAAATAAATGTTTCAACAGATCTCGCGGTGCAATTCGAGACTCCCTATTTAAAAAAAAAATAGAAATGATGCAAAGGAGCCTGTATTTTCCAGGCTTTGGGACTGGGACTGCAGTATTCTGAGCTCAGTGAAAACAGTCAAGGGAGGAGGCGGGACTCTGGCGAGTTCCCCTTCCACCCTCCCCCCCTTTCTTCTTTCCACCTCTCTTCCACTTCTAGCTGAATTCCAGCATTTGCTGCAGTTTCTCTCAAGCCCTTTGCAGGACCCAAACAACAGCGGCCATTGCTCCCAGGATGGTGATCCGTGTGTATATTGCATCTTCCTCTGGTTCAACGGCGGTAAGGAGGGTGGAGAGACCACCTTTGTTTTCCTACACACCAGTCTCCTGCTGCTCCAGAACCATAAAATTGCAGAAGTTCATCTGGCAGCCACTACTTAGGAAGACACACGGTCTTCCACCCGTTTTCCCCTTCTCTTTCTTTCCTTTGTTGCTTCGATTCCATTTTTCTATGGAGTTTAGCTTTGTTTCCCTTACGATGTAAGATCACATTTCTACGTTGAAGGAGAAAGAAAGTTACTGAATTTTGGTAGATGGGAGATGGTGGTATTGGGTCTTTAAGGTTAAGGGAAGAAGTCAAGTAAAATCACACTGGTGAGTTTCAGGAGTGGGACATATGTGCTCTAGGTACTGAGATGAAAGGCAGGCATGCACTTCTGTAAAGATGTAAAAAGTGCTGATGACAATTGAGTGGAGGCCTACTGAAACATTGTGATTATTTTTGAAGTGAGGCCCGTTTAATCAAAGAGTTATTTTGCCAGTGTGTAAGAGAGTGTGTTTTAATTCAGTTTAAAGAGTGTTAGAACTAGGCAGAATGGGGGCGGGGGGATTGAGAACTATGATGCAAAGTTGTGGGTTTTTTTTTTTTTAAACTAATGTGACAAAGGACCTGTTTTTTCCTTCCAGAGTGTTCCTTATTATGATTTTTTTCCCCAAAAGACATAACTTCTAACAGTTTCTAACTGCTTCAAATATATTGAGAACTAAAAAGGGAACTAGCAAGTAAGCAGTTTCTTGTGTAGTGGCAGACTCCAGTTGCTGCTTCTTCAAATGATAGGACAGGTCCCTTCTGGGTTCATGTACTTTTAATTTAGAGTAAGAATTCTTCAGCAGCTGTGGGAAGGAATAAGATAAACTGGGGTACAACCGTAGTGTATATCCATGATAAATGAAAGTGCCTGTTTTTCACAACTCAAAAGAAAAGCTAACAGTAGCAAGAGTAGATATGTGAGTTCCTGATGTAGGATGTAGTAACTGCCTCCTTCTTCTGGGCTTTAGAACAGCAGCTATTTCATATTTTTACTGTTGTTTGTTTTGTTTATTTACCCCTAAAATGGATTTGGGATAAAACTGAAGGTTAGGTGAAATCACAAAAACCTTGAACTTTGAACTTTGTCTTTTCTGGCCACCATGCATGGGTATGTTTAGACAGTTTTCAGACAGAATAATTAACATTACAATTTTTGAGCAAATTTAGGTTGAAAACCTAAAACTTTTTATATTGCCTTTGAACCTTACCTCATGAGCTTCTTGCTTTATTATTATCCACTTATATTAATTATGATATTTCAGAGTAATATTTGAGTTCCTCAGAGTCTCATGCCCAACACAGTAATTGTAAAATTTTAAAGACCAGCTTAATAACTTTAGTTAAATTCCTGATCAGAAGTTAGTTTCATTTTAGGTGATAGGCATTTCCAATACTACTATTTATTCTTTGCCTTCTTGCTCATCTACCCCTCCCCCAAAAGCAGATTCAAAAAGAAACTCCTTTCAAAATTTCTATTAAAGAACAGTGTATGTTCTCATTCATTTGGGGAATATGAATAATAGTGAAAGGGAATATAAGGGAAGGGAGAAGAAATGTGTGGGAAATATCAGAAAGGGACATAGGACATAAAGACTCTTAACTCTGGGAAATGAACTAGGGGTGGTGGAGGGGGAGGAGGGCGGGGGGTGGGGGTGAATGGGTGACGGGCACTGAGGGGGACACTTGACGGGATGAGCACTGGGTGTTATTCTGTATGTTGGTAAATTGAACACCAATAAAAATTAATTTATTAAAAAATAAATAAATAAAAATAAACCTAAAAAAAAAGAACAATTTTATTTCTCCCTTTGTAAAGACTTAGGGTTCTAAAAGCCTTAAAAAAATGACTGATATCTCTTTTTACGTATGCTGTTAGACTGGATTGTTGAAGACTATACAAATAGGAAATATATGCTATTTATGTTTTGTTTCAGTTTTTTATCTTATGAGTTACTAGAAATTTGTGTGTTGTTTCAGTAATTATAGTTCTTATGAGCTTGTTATCAAAAATACGCATATTGGCAAAATATATTTTTATTTTTTAAAAAGCATGAGTATTTTTAAATAGTACTAAAACAGGAAAAAGCGAGTATACTTCATTTATAACATAAATGTGCACTATTCAGGTTGCAGTACTAAGGTATTGTCATTAAGACTTCTACCATATAGTTTTTAACACACAATTTAGAGATTTGGGGGCAAAAATATTTTTTAATTTATTTATTGGAGTTCAATTTGCCAACATATAGCATAACACCCAGTGCTCATCCCACCAAGTGCCCATCACCCAGTCACCCCAACCCTCCGCCCACCACCCGTCCACTACCCTTTGTTCATTTCCCAGAGTTAGGTGTCTCTCATGTTTTGTCACTCTCACTGATATTTTCACTCATTTTCTCTCCTTTGCTCTCCATTCCCTTTCACTATTTTTTATATTCCCCAAATGAATGAGACCATATAATGTTTGTCCTTTTCCAATGGACTTATTTTACTCAGCATAATACCCTCCAGGTCCATCCATGTCAAAGCAAATGGTGGGTATTTGTCGTTTCTAATGGCTGAGTAATATTCCATTGTATACATAAACCACATCTTCTTTATCCATTCATCTTTCTATGGACACCGAGGCTCCTTCCACAGTTTGGCTATTGTGGACATTGCTGCTAGAAACATCGGGGTGCAGGTGTCCCGGCGTTTCACTGCATCTGTATCTTTGGGGTAAATCCCCAGCAGCGCAATTGCTGGGTCATAGGCCAGTTCTATTTTAAACTCATGGAGGAACCTCCACAGAGTTTACCAGAGTGGCTGCACCAGTTAACATTCCCACCAACAGTGCAGGAGGGTTCCCCTTTCTCCACATCCTCTCCAACATTTGTTGTTTCCTGTCTTGTGAATTTTCACCATTCCCACTGGTGTGAGGTGGTATCTCATTGTGGTTTTGATTTGTATTTCCCTGATGGCAAGTGATGCAGAGCATTCTCTCATGTGCTTTTTGGCCATGTCTATGTCTTCCTCTGTGAAATTTCTGTTCATGTCTTTTGCCCATTTCATTATTGGATTGTTTGTTTCTTTGGTGTTGAGTTTAAGAAGTTCTTTATAGATCTTGGATACTAGCCCTCTATCTGATACGTCATTCGCAAATATCTTCTCCCATTCTGTAGGTTGTCTTTTAGTTTTGTTGACTGTATCCTTTGCTGTGCAAAAGCTTCTTATCCTGATGAAGTACCAATAATTCATTTTTGCTTTTGTTTCTCTTGCCTTCATGGATGTATCTTGCAAGAAGTTGCTGTGGCCAAGTTCAAAAAGGTTGTTGCCTGTGTTGTCCTCTAGGATTTTGATGGAATCTTATCTCACATTGAGATCTTTCATCCTTTTTGAGTTTATCTTTGTGTATGGTGTAAGAGAATGGTCTAGTTTCTTTCTTCTTTCCCAGCACCATTTATTGAAAAGACTGTCCTTTTTACAGTGGATGGTTTTTCCTGCTTAGTCGATTATTAGTTGACCATAAAGTTGAGGGTCCACTTCTGGTTTGTCTGTTCTGTTCCATTGATCTATGTGTCTGTTTTTGTGCCAGTACCACACTGTCTTGATGACCACACCTTTGTAGTACAACCTGAAATCTGCCTCCAGCTATGGTTTGCTTTTTCAATATTCCCCTGGCTATTCGAGGTCTTTTCTGATTCCACACAAATCTAAAGATGATTTGTTCCAACTCTCTGAAGAAAGTCCATGGTATTTTGATAGGGATTGCATTAAATGTGTAAATTACCCTGGGAACATTGACATTTTCACAATATTAATTCTTCCAACCATGAGCATGGAATATTTTTCTATCTCTTTGTGTCTTCCTCCATTTCTTTCAGAAGTTGTTTTTAGGGTATAGATCCTCTAACCTCTTTGGTTAGGTTTCCTCCTAGGTATCTTATGCTTTGGGTGCAATTGTCAATGGGATTGACTCCTTAATTTCTCTTTCTTCAGTCTCATTGTAAGTGTATAGAAACGCCACTGATTTCTGGGAATTGATGCTGTATCCTGCCACACTGTCGAATTGTTATATGAGTTCTAGCAATCGTGGGGTGAAGTATTTAGGTTTTCTATGGACAGTATTATGTCACCTGGGAAGAGGGAGAGTTTGACTTCTTTGCCAATTTGAATGCTTTTTGTTGCATGATTGCTGAGGCTAGGACTTCTAGTATTATATTGAATAGCAGTGGTGAGAGTGGACATCCCTGTCTTGTTCCTGATCTTGGGGGAAAGGCTCCCAGGGTTTCCATATTGAGAATAATATTTGCTGTGGGCTTTTTGTAGATGCCTTTAAGATGCTGAGGAATGTTCCCTCTATCCCTACACTCTGATGAGTTTTGATCAGGAATGGATGCTGTATTTGGTCAAATGCCTTCAATGCATCAATTGAGAGGATCACATGGTTCTTGTTTTTTCTCTTGCTGATATTATCACATCAATTGCTTTACAAGTGTTGAACCAGCCTGGCAGCCTGGGGATAAAACCCACTTGGTCATGGTGAATAATCTTCTTAATGTACAGATGGATCCTATTGGCTACTATCTTGTTGAGAATTTTTGCATCTGTGTTTATCAGGGATATTGGTCTATAATTCTCCTTTTTGGTGGGGTCTTTGTCTGGTTTTGGAATTAAGGTGATGCTGGCCTCATAGAATGAATTTGGAAGTACTCCATCTGTTTCTATCTTTGTGAACAGCTTTAGTAGAATAGGTATGGTTTCTCCTTTAAACGTTTGATAGAATTCCCTGGGAAGCCATCTGTCCCTGGACTTTTGTGTCTTGGGAGGTTTTTGATGACTGCTTCCTCCCTGGTTATCAGCCTGTTCAGGTTTCCTATTTCTTCCTGTTCCAGTTTTGGTAGTTTTTGGTTTTCCAGAAATGCGTCCATTGTGTCTAGATTGCCTACTTTATTGGCATATAGCTGCTCATATTAAGTTTTTTAAATCGT